ATGACTTGTATTATCCTTCAAGTTACCAGAAAATGGCATCAACACAATTTCTCCTTACGAAGTTAAAGACAATCATTACATTGAAGAGGAAAAGCGTTTTTCCTTAAGTTTTGATCAGAGGAAGTATCTCAAAATTAAAATCCATAGTCTGGGTTAAATTTTGTCTTAGGAGAAGAGTTGTATCTAAAACTTCCAAGATCATTACTTACTGGAAATAAGATCTGTTTTCTCTTAGGGTGGCATAGTAGTATGAATCACAATGTGCTAATGCTTCTTAATAATATATCTCTCATTCATAACATTCAGAATCTATAACATCAATAGGAAAATACTGAACAAATTAAATATTTTCTACATGCCAGGCACTAGGCTAAGTGCTTTCCATGCATATATCATTCAATCATCACCATCCTGTGAGATAAATATGATTATATGATTTTAATCAACTTTATTGAAGTATAATTTACATTCTGGAAAATGCATTCATTTAAATAGTGCAATTCAAAGAAGTTTGGTAAATGTATACACCTAAGCAACTGCCACAGCAATAATGATACAGAGTATCTATCACTGAGAAATGTTCTTTTGCGCCCTTTTGCAATCAGTACTTTGCTCCCACCCTGGGCCCCTGGAAACCACTGATAGGATTTGTCACTATAGTTTTGTCTTTTCCAGAGTTAATATAAGTGGAATCAAAAAGTATGTAGTTTTTTTTTTAATCTGGCTTTTTTCACTTAGCATAAGGCTTCTAGATTAATCCATGTTGTTGAATGTGTCAGTAATTCATTTTTTTTGTTCTGAGTAATATTCCATTGTATGGATACACCACAAATATTTATCCATTCACCAGTTGATGGACATTTGGGTTGTTTCCAGTTTTTGCCTATCATGGATAAAGTTATTTTTAACAATAATGTAAAAGTGTTTGTATGGACACATGTTTTCATTTCCCGTGGGCAAATACCTAAGAGACACATTGGAAAGCTGGGGATAAAAAAGGAAGCATTTGGGGAGGATTTAATGATAGGGGGAAATGAAAACATAATAAAAACACATATAAAAATATAAGAGGGTCATTGGTTTCTGTAGTGGTTGTACCATATTACATTCCCAATAGCAATGCCTGAGAGTTCCAGTTGCTTTTC